GGGGGGGGGGGAGGGAATGGTGTGGGTATAACATAAAAAAAAACACCACACTGGCTCCAAATCATCTCTCACTTGCTGTGAGGCTTTGGGCCAGACACCTGAATCTCTGGACTTCAGTCACCTGGGAATTCTAAATTGCCTGGTAGGTTCTATCCTCTCTATTTCCTCACCTCACCCCATTGCACCTACCATCTGCCGGGTCTGCTGGAGTTGAGCATTGAAGCCCCGAATCTTCTCAGCCACTTGCCCAGCCGTCCGGAAGGCCCCACCCGCCCTGTGCAGGGCACCTCTGCAGTGGGCCCCACAGTCTGTACCATTGTCTCGAGGGCACAGCTCACCGGGGCATGTTGTGGGGGTGCAGGCTACCTGCCTGGAGCCCCCACAAAGCTGTGGAGAGATAGGGATGTCTAAGAAGGCACTCCAAGACTCCTCAAAAACCACTCCCATCCCATACCCAGAAAACAAACAGTCAACATCTCTATGGCAACTAGGCACCAGAAATGTGTTTCCTTGGCAACCACTGAGCACACTGTGAAGGGCACATGGGTGGGGTTGGGTGGGAGAGTGGGGTGTATTCTTCCCAGGGTGGGTCTGCCCTAATAGGTAGCTGACGTGCGGCAAGCTGGGGGCCTCCAGGAAGTGGGGCTCCATGCCATGAGTCAAGGGCCCACCTTGTTGATGGTGGGTGTCAGGTCAGGGAAGGAAGCCATCTCCAGCCTCAGGGCTGTGAGCTGGGGGCCACTGGCACCTCCTCCTCCTGCCACCTGCCTCTCCAGCCGTTCAGCTTCTCTCCGGCTGTCTCTGAGCTGAAGCAGCAGGCGGGAGCTGTCGGAGACCTGCTGGGCTGCCTGGGATGACCGTTCATAGGCTGCAGTCAGCATCCGGAAGGCTCCTGTGAGAAGAGGGGGAAAGGATTGAGTCACCCCTGGGTGTGAGGATGGGAGATGAGAGGAAGAGGTAGAAGGGAGAGTAAGAGAGACCCTGGCAGCCCTCTCCTCACCGGAAGGATCAGCACTGCTTATTTTTTCAAACTGCTCCCTCTTGTTCTGGTACACAATGAGGAGCTGATTGAAACTTTGGTCCAGGCTCTCCAGGTCCCCTGGGAGCGACAGCATCTCCTCCTCTAGGGGCAGATCCAGCTGTAGGTCCTGCAGAGTCCGCCTGAGATGAGAGAAGGGCTTTCATTAGAACATGGGAAGGGGTTTGGCTTCCCCAGAACCAGTCATTTTCCTAGAGAAACTGCTATGGAGTCAGGAAAAAGCAGGGATCTTCAGCAAAGGCAACAGAAGGGAGAACCCACAAGCTGAAGAAGATTCTCCTGGGCCGAGGCTGGGTGTGCTGGTGCCATCGTCTCTCCATCTCTCTGAAGTGGCTTCTCAGTGTGGCCTCCACAAAGCCTTCTCCTCCCTTGACTTGGGAGATGCTAACATCCCCCCATCCCTCAGAAGCTGCTGTTCCTGCTCCTGGCTTCCACAGGAGTGTGACCCCTACCTCACCTGATTCAGTCTCTTCAGGCTGACTTCAGTCACACCTGCCACTGAGACTTCAGAGATTCCACTGTCTTCCCTGCTCATTGCAGCCCCACTTACTACCAAGACCCCAAGCCTTCAATTCTTGCACCTCTGGGCTTAGCTCAGGCCTGTGCCCTTGCAGACCAGTATATCCAGACTGCTGGGTATCTGTGGAGGTCAGGCAGCACCACCTCCATAAAGCCTTCATGGCCACCCTTCCATCAACGTTTTCCCTCCTTTATAAGGTGATAACACCTTATAATGGAGTTCTGGTAGCATAATGGTTACCAATCAGGCTGCGAACCTCATGGTCAGCAGTTCAAAACTACCAGCTGTTCTGCGGGAGAAAAATGAGGCTTTCTGCTCCCGTAAAGATTTACAGCCTCGGAAACCCTGTACAGGGTCGCTAAGAATCGGATCCGACTCCAACATCACTTTATAGTTACATTTTACACGTCTGCCTCCCCCATTGGAACATTTTGAGGGTAAAGACTGTCTTTTTAATCTTAATATAATATCCCCAACACCTAGCACAATGCTTGCTTCACAAATGTTAAGTGCCATTGAGTCGGTTCTGACTTATAACAACCCTGTATAGGAGTGGCTGGTGAGTTTGAACCACTGACCTTGCAGTACAAACTGACCTTGAAGTCTAATGCTTATCCTACAGCACCACACCAGGTCTCCTTGTTTTATAAAAGATGATTAAAAAGTATGGGGTGAATGAATGAATGGATCCCAACATTTGCTCTAGCTCCTCTGTCAGAGCCTCCAAAAGGAAGGCCCTGTGGGACCAGGAGTAACAGAGGGTACTTCAGCTACCCACTCTCCTCAGCTTGCCTCCTCCCTGCTGCCCATAATACACCTCCAAAGCTCTGCGCACCCTCAGTCAGCCGGTGCTTAGGGTAAGCAAACTAACTGTAGAATCTTCCAGAACCCAATCCCCCTGCTGGTGGGATGGGGTGTGGGTGGGGACACTTCCATTCCAAAGGCAAATAGAAGCTATTTTTAGAGCTCCGCCTCTTTGATGCCCTCTGTTAGGGTGACTAATCCAAAGCTGCTCTCTCTAAAGAACACCCAGTTTGAGCTACCGGTCTGTGCCCAAGGCCCGGCTCTGCATCATTGTAGCCAAGGGGCTCTGTCACGTCACCTCCCTGTGCCTGCATCCATCACCTGCGCCCACCACACCAAGGTCACAAGACAATGGTGATGATGAAAAGCAAAAGCATACACGAGAAGGCCTGGGAAGGGCTGGACACATGTGAGAAGATCAGTGTGCCTATGCATGCCCAGGAGGCAAGGGAAGGGAGCTACCTGATGGAGAAGATGGCATTGGCCACCTGGGCCACCTCCTGCTCTGTGGTGGAGGCACGGTTGAGAATGGCTTGGATCTGATCAATCTTGTTCTTCGCATTCAAGAAGCGGGAGGCCAGGCCATGGTCCCCCAGACCCAGCCCAGGCTTCAGGCTGGCCGTGGTGTTGTGGAGGCCACTGAGGCGCAGGGCCTTCTCCCGGATGTCCGCATCATAGGTTTGGAAGCAACGATGGCACGCCACGCACACTGGGTAGCGATCACAGTAGCCTCGCTGGCACTGGTCACAGCGGGGCCCGGTCAAGCCAGCACGGCAGAGGCAGCGGCCTGAGGCCTTGTCACAGCCTGGGCCTTCAGTTCCCCGGAAGTCACAGTCACAGGCTAGAGTCAGAAAGAAATGATGGTTAGAGACGGGAGGTCGAGGAAGATGAAGGCATCTAAAGAGGAGGTCTGACCTTAGCATCCTTCTGTATGACTTAGAAAAACTGACTGTGAAAGCCAGGATAGCAACCATGGCAACAATAATAATGAGAGCAAAACTGAGTCAGTGTCCACTGTGGGCCAAGTCCCCTGGAAGGTATAAATGGCTTGCTCTCAACTACCAACCTGAAGAGTACAGGCAGGAAACCCTAAGGAGCTCAATTCTACTGAGTAACACATGGGGTAGGCACGAGTTGGAATTGACTTAACAACAACAGGCTTTGTTTTGGTTTTGTGTGCATGTGGTCCAGGCACTGTTCTAAGCCACACACACATGCACAATAATTTATTTCATCTTCACAACTAGTCACTGTCCAGTAACTCTAACTCACAGTGACCCATATGTGTCAAAATACAACTGTGTTCCATCGGCTAGTCAGTGGCCGAGATTTTTGGAAGTAGATCACCGGGCCTTTCTTGATGCTGAGTGGACTTGAACTTCCAACTTTTCAGTTAGCGACTGAGTATAAAATGAACCATTTATACCAACCTACAGCCATCAAATTTATTCCTGTAGAGGGTTTCCAAGACTCAATCTTTATGAGAGCAGCCAGTCTCACCTTTCTCCTGAGGAGTGGCTGGTGGGTTTGAACCACCAACCTTATGGTTAGCAGCCCAATACTTAACCCACAGCTCTAGATAAAGCTCTTCCTCTGGAACACTGGAGAAGAGCAGCCATCTGCTAGGGGTGGCCTGGCATTCCCTGCCTAGAGGCTGGGTGTGAATAACCCTCACTACACAAATAAATCCATTCTCTCTGCGCCTAGGGCAGACCTGCACACGCACACCCCACCTTGAGTGAACCCACCTCGGCATCCGGTGGCCCCGTCTCCATAGGTCTGGTCCGGACACTGGCGAATGGCTGCAGAGCTGCATGTCAGGCCTCCAAATCCATCCCTACACGGGCACTGCCCCGTGAACTGGGAAGGAAAAGGGGTGCTCTCAGTTTCCATCTTGTATTGGAGACTACATCCCAGCTCCAGAGTCAGCACACAGAATCCAGGGTCCCCATTGGCTGCCTGTGGAGCTGCTGTCCCCCACCCCCACCCCGCACTTCAAGGTCAAGCTTAAAGTCAAAGTCCAGAGAGCACTGTAGAAGGTATGGCAAAGATGGCATGGCCAAAGCTGAGGACCACAGAAGGAAAGGGACATTCGGTGGTCTCCCTACAGGGCCCAGCCCTGACTCTAAGAAGTCCCACAGGGGCGGCGTGCAGTGAGACAGAGCTGGTGTCCAGACCCCTGTCCTGCTGAAGGACCCCACCGCCACGCTGCACCGCGCACCTGGTTGCACTGGGGGCTGAGGGAGTTGTTCGGGTCACAGGCGCAAGGCTCGCAGCCTCGGCCGCTGGCCAGTTTCCAATGGTAGGGAGCGCACTGCTCACACTTGGAGCCTGCCACATTGGGCAGACACAAGCAGCGCCCACTCTCTTCATCACACGGCATGTCTCTCCGGGACCCCAAGATGTTACAGTCACAGCCTACGGGAGAGAGAGGTCCTGAAGGGGAAGCCACACAAAATCACCCACCCCCCGAGGATGGACGTTCAGGGAGTGAAACCGGCTAGGGGAAAGAGCTGAGCCTTTCCTTCCAGATAACAGGGCTGATTAACAAGACACTGCACGCTCCTACCAGTCCCAGTCACCCGCAGTTTGGCAGCACCCAACCTGAACCCATGCTGCCACCTGCTGGATGCCAGTGGTATAGCACCCGGTGTTGTGGGAGAAGGAAACAAGTGGGGGTCTCCTGGCAATGCCAAGGCACATCCCCGCTGTCATCCTTTAGCTGGGATTTCGTCTGGAGAGGACACATTGAGCAGGACCAGTCATGAGTCTGGTGGCCCCAGGCAGCCTGCCCCGCACTATGTGGGCCGGGCTCCCGCTACTCACGGTGGCAGCCCTGTGGGTTGGTGTAGGTGAGTCCAGTGAAGCCCGGCTTGCAGAAGTCACAGCGCTCTCCCTGCACATTCTCCTTGCACACACACTGCCCGCTTACTGGGTCACAGGGAGCCCCTGGCACCGCCCCATCCGGGTCACACTCACAGGCTGAGGGGCAAAAGCAGAGTCACAGGAGGAACAAAGAAGAAACGGAGAAGGTTACGAGTTGCTTCTAGGACCTGGAATGCCCAGGTGCATATTCTTGTTGTGCCATTTAATATCTGTTTACCTTAATCAAGTTACTTAACCTCTCTGTACCTCAGTTTCTTCATGTGGAGGAATAACAATGGGGATAATAGCAATATATTCTTCATAGACTTCTCATGGGAAATAAAGAATATGAAACCGTGCTTGGCACAAGTGAAGTACTAGCAGGTGTATTTTTGCCTGTCTTTATTTCTTGAGCAACTGCTAAGTGTCATGTACTGAGCTAGGTCCTATCACATACTATATTGTTTCATCCTTTTGGATAACCCTGGGAGTTGGGTATTAATACTCCCATTGTACAGATGAGAAAACTGAGACTCAGAGCATTTAAACAACTTCTTTAAAGTAAGTAGCAGGGCTCAAACTCAAGTCTATATCATTCTTTACACAGACAAATAATATCAACAGGAATTGACCCAGCCTCCCTCATTCCCACTTTGAGATCTCTTTTATGTCTTTCAAAATATAAGACTCTTTCTCCATCCAGGTCTTACCTGATTGAACCTGCCCAACCATATTGTTAGTCTAGCTTGCTTTCTCCTAAATGAACACATTGGCACTTGTGAACATGCTATATTATTCCTGGGTGTTCCATTACATTACATTCATACATTCATTTAACAAACATCCCGTAAGCATTAATTACTTGCCAGTCAGTTATTATGCTAGGGACTAAGGGCATAAAACATAATCCCTGCTTCAAGGAGCTCTCAGTGTTGGGGAAGACAGAAAATGAACAACATACCTCATTCACATGGCAAAGGTAATAACATAAACATGGATAAAGGGAATTTGAAGGGCAACTGGAAGGTTGCCAGTTAGTCATGAGAAAGGAGCGGGAAGGAGACTTGCCAGGTGGAGGTAATCACAGGTACACACAAACGTATGTACCAAGGTGACGTGTCTGGGGAGGTTGAGCTGTCACAGGTACCTAGGGTGCTCCGTGGAGGAGCATCAGGATGAGGTTGGTGGGTACTGGCTGGGGCCTGACTGTGGACCTTGTATGCTATCAGTAGACTAGGCTTTATTTCTATGTGGTAGGAAGCCTTCTGAAGTTTGTGAGCAAAGCATTACTATAAGATTTGTGTAGCAAGTGCACAGGATTCTGCTGGATGGAGGACAGGCAGGGGAAGGAGGGACCAATGGCTGATGATGCTTCCCTCCCCTCTTGCTCATGGATCCTTCTACTTCCTGCCCCTACTGGTCCCCATTAGGAAGATCACTCTGACATTCTTTGGGGTATCAGAAGTGGTCGGGTTCTTTCTCCTTTTAAAAATCAAAGGAGCTCAGCTGCCCACTCAGCTCTTTTCAGCCAAATCCACATTAGAAAACCATGAGGTGCACAGGGCGTGCTCTGTATGTGTTGTTTTCCTCCCTCCTTCCTCTCTTCTTATTCATGAGTGCATGACTTACATTAAGGATCCCTGGTGGTATAGTGGATTAAGCATTGAGCTGCTTCCCACAAGGTCAGCTATTCAAGTCTCCCAGTCACTCTACAGGAGAAAGATGAAGCTGTCTGCTCTAAAAAAGATTTACAGTCTTGGAAACTCCAAGGAGCAGTTCTCCTCTGTTGTATAGGGCAAACTGACTCTATGGCAGTGGGTTTGGGTTTATGGCTTATATTACCAAATATTTGTGTGTTCCTTAGTTGCAGGAAATGTATTTTATATTTACTCTTTCTTCTCCCATGTCTAAAATACAGGCTACAAATTGACTGACTGATTGATGGTCCACGGGCCTTAAGTGACCTGTGTAGTCATTAAGTTGAAACAAGTCCTGGCCATAATCAAGTTTCCCTGCTCCCTGCAGGTCTTTGTGCCCCAGGAATGCAGACAAGGTCACCTTGTACTATGGTGGGGCATAGTACACAGATGGGGGCTAATGGACAGATGATACGCCAGGGCCTAGAGCCTCTACTCACGGATACAGGTCTCCTGAATGGGAACACCAGGTCGCCGGTTTCGGAAATAGTGCAGCTGACACCGCTCACAGTTCTTGCCCTCAGTGTGATCCCGGCAGTTGTCACACACGCCACCGTGTGTCCCCTGGCTGGCAGCAAACACGGCTGGATCGAAGTGGCATGTCTCTGAGTGTCCATTGCAGTTACACCCTGATAAAGAGAGTCAAGTCTGATGTTCGGCTGGCATCATTGCCACCGACAAAGCACTTTCATGGCAAAGACATGGGGAAACTGAGGCTCAAGGAGGGGGTGTCATTTACTTAAGGAGTTTAAAAAGCAGATGCTGTTGGCATGGACTCATGGCGACCCTGTGTGTCAGAGTAGAACTGTGCTCCACAGGGTTTTCAATGGGGGATTCTTTGCAAGTAGATCATCAGGCTGCCTCTGGGTGGGCTCAAACTCTAAACTTTCAATGAGCATGTTAAACATTTGCACCACCCTAAGACTCCTAATCCAGATTACAGGACCAGTGAGAAGGCAGAGTAGAGAGCTCAGACCTCCTGACTCCCATTATGGGGGTTCTGAACCTCACATGCCACGTGTCGACTGTGGCCAGGCTGGGCCAGAGACAGAGGCCTCAGGCCTGGCTGAGGGGAAGGATGAGGACAGTGAGGGACGTAGCCCAAACTCTCTCCATTTCACAGAAGAAGAAAAGCCTAACTGGCTGGGGTTTAAGTAGGCTTAGATTTCATTCATAAAAAGGAGATTTGCCCTGGGTCCCAGGTGAGTCCATCAAGGCCCAGAAGGGGCATCATTGGATCCAGGCCAGCACAGGGCAGGAGGAGAGCCTAGACTCATACTTTGGCATTCATGGGGGTCCTGATCATCTGCAGGTCTCCAGGGCCAGTTGTTGTAGAAGGGTGCACAGTGGTCACAATTGGGTCCAGCAGTGTTGTGCTGGCAGACGCAAATATCGTGGACCTAGGAGAAGAGATCATCAGTCAACAGAGATAATTAACGAAGAGAGGTCCCAACGATGGGGCTGCCCTCTCCCAGCTCAGGCCCTAGCTTGACCAGAATACTGTCCCTGAATGTCCCAGCCTTTACTCAGCTCCTAGGGCACTGCCTGTGGAGTCCTGGTGTGGTGCCATAGCATATGCACTCGACCTCAAGGTCAGTTTGAACTGCAAGGTCGGTGGTTCAAACTCACCAGCTGTTCCTCGGAAACCCTATACAGGGTTGTTATGAGTAGGAATAGACTTTACAGCACTTAAATGGCACCACTTGTCCGTCCTTCTGTGTGTCTGTGTGTGTGCGTGCTTGTGGGCATGTGTCCCTGCTCTTCCTCTGGATGGATTTTTTTTTTTCTTTTTAATCATTCCTTATACTTGGACACCTCCATGCTTCCCAGTCTAGAATGTGTTCAGACACCCTTGTTGGCAAACTATATAATTCTAGAAACTTGTGGGTCCTCTGAGATTTATATTCAAACAATCTATGAGTGTTGTTGTTAGGTTAATGAGACTGTTATAAAGAATTGTTACTAGAGTCATTAAGATATAAAAATAGAAGAGCTGTTGTGTGTGAATTGCCTTCCAAATTAGGCCCAGCACCCTCAACCTGGCATTCAAGAACATTCTCCTCTCCTACTCCTAACAGCACAGCCAAATAAAACTTTCAGCTGCTCCCTCTATGGGTCCTGATTTGTCCCACCTTTTGACCTTGCTGAGGGTACCTTCTGCTGGAATTCCCTTCTCTTCTGGTTCATCAGTACAATCTTGCCTGTTAAACTCCAGTTGAAGATAGCACTTCCTTCCATAAGCCTGCCTGGTTCCTTTAAGCCCATGGACTGAAGCCCAGGTTTCTTTTCAGAATCACCTGAGGAACTTGTATCAAACACCAATGCAGGCCCACATCAAACAAGCACAGCTTTCTCAGACGGGTCAAGGTGCTGGGCTACCTTTTGGAGGGCAGCGGGGCAGGTAGATGGAGGGTTGATAATAGATTTCTTAGAGCAGTTTTAAGATTACAGAAAAATGGGACAGAAAATTGACTTCCCCCTCCCCTCGACACATGATTTCTCCTATTATTAACATCTCACATTTCTGTGCTACATCTGTTACCATGGATGAACCAATATGCTGTGTTGATATTAACTGAAGTCCACAGTTTATGTTAGAGTTCCCTTTTTGTGTTGCCAAACATTACTATATTATACTGAATACTAATGCATCCAGCTTACTATATTATAGAGTTTCACAAAGACAAAAACCACAATGTTGTCAAATCAATTCTAACTCATAGCAACCCAAGTGCCTGTCCACCCCCCACCCCCCACCCCCGGGTTGCCAAGGCTGTAAGTCTCTAAGGAAACCGAATGCCATATCTTTTTCCCACAGAGTGGCTGGTAGATTCAATCACCTACCTTTTAGTTAGCAGCTGAATGCTTAATCACCACACCACCCTAGACTCCATCTACTCTTCCCTCCACCTCATTCCTGAACGCCTGGCTCATTGGTCTTTCACTATATATGATTTTGCCTTTACTCAAATGTCATATGGAGTCCTGGTATGGTGTTGTAGGACAAGCACTAGACTGCTAACCACAAGGTCAGTGGTTCAAACACACCAGCTGCTCCTCAGAAGTCCTACACAGGGTCATTATGAGTTGGAACTGACTGGACAGCACTTAACAACAAAAGAATGTCATATTGTTGGGATGTCACCACGTTTTTAAGCGGTGATTCTTGTACGGCCAGATTTGAGGCCCACAGAGCAGACAGGCTCTCTCCTCCCCTGAATCCCACAGTATATTGCATTCCTCAGATGTTGGCCATTCCTCTGCGCTGGAGTTGTTTATCTATGCACCCTAGTGACCTCCCTCACTCTGAACTGGACTCACCTGGACTCCCTGTAGTCTGGGTCAGAAGCTGGTCCCAAAGTGAAAAGAATAAAACTGATGGCATGTTCACTTCAGTTGCACTTCCCTCCCCAGCCACTTTATATAATTTCCTCATGTCCCTCTCCCCGAGAGGGTACTCATCATGGTATGGCACTGTAGGATAAGCACTCAACCATAAGGTCGGTTTAAACGGCAAGGTCGTCTGTTCAAACTCACCAACCACTCCTCAGAAACCCTATACAGGGTTGCTAAGAGTCAGAACTAACCCGAGGGCACTTAACAACAAATTATGTTGACAGAAGAGCCCCCTGGTGGTGAAAATGTTTAATGAGCTTAGCTGCTACCCAAAAGATTGGAGGTTTGAGTCCACCCAGAGCCACCTCAGAAGGAAGACCTGGTGATTTATTTCTGAAAACTCAGCCATTGAAAAGTCTATGGGGAGCATGTTCCACACACATGGGGTCACCATGGGTTGGTTGACACAACTAAAAACTAGCAGCTGTTTTCTTGTTGTTGTTTTACTTTATTTTGTTTTATGTTGACAAAGGAACTAAAGCCCCAGAAAAGTGAAACGACAGACTTAGCATCTGTATTAGTCTTTGTTTGCTAAGTCTGTCTTGTATTTCAACACTTGTTAAATGCCATTGAGTAGGTTCCTACTCATAGTCACCCTGTATAGGGTTCCCACGGAGCAGCTGGTGGGTTTGAACCACCGACCTTGAGGTTAGCAGCACTCCAGTACTTATCCTACAGTGCCATGGATTATTATTTGGTGATTAAAAAAAAAATGAGCTGTTCGCCATGAAAAAACATGAAGGAACCTTAAACGCATGTTGTTGCCAAGTAAAAGAAGCTAGTCTGGAAAACACACTGTATGATTCCAACTATATGAGTACCACATTCTGGAAACAGTGAGACAGTAAGAATATCATCATCTTCAAGGGTTTCAGAAGAAAGGTGGAGAATGGAGCCAAAGGCATTTTCAGGGCAGTGAAACTATTTTGTATGATGCTGTAATGATGGACACAAGGAATTATTCAACCCACTGGACTGTAAAACACAGAGTGAGTCCTATATGTAAACTATACACTTTATAATAATAATAATAATGTATTAAAATTGGCTCGTCAACTGCTACAAATGTTGCATAGGAATGCAAGACATTAATAATAATAAGGAAACTCTGTATCGGGGGAAGAGGGTTGATGGAAAATCTGTTCTTACTGCACAATTTCTCTATCAACCTAAAAAATAAAACCTATTTAACAACAACACAACAATATGGTTCTGAAAGTAGGGGTTTAGGCATTGACTTTGTTTATATGCAGCCAGGATTGAAAACCATTGCTTTAAATGCCTCTAATACACACACACACACACACACACACACACACATTTACTTATATGTACTTGAAAATAAAGTCACTCTGAACCATAGAGGCAGTCTAAGGAAGTACTATACAATTTTGAAATGATGACCACTTAGTGTTTGTTGAGTTTTTTTCCTATTGAGTCATTGACTATCCCACTCTTAAATGTAATGCTCTTCCAAGGATGTCCTTAGCCTGCCTTGCCCATGTCCCCTCCCACCAGGGCTGTTACCTGCACAGCAGTGGAGGGTCCTGCAGGGGCTCCTGGTGCGGGGGCACAGCGATCAGCATGGCCATGACAGAAGCAGCTCCCCTGCAGACGCAGCTGTGACACTGCGTAGTAGGCACTGGGTGGGTGGTAGCCCCTCTGAGGCACAGGGGCCAGCTTGGTGAAGTTGACTCTCAAGTTTGTGATCTCCCCTAGCTCTAAGAGGGAGCAAACAATGACGAGGGAAAGGGTAGGGGAAGGGAAAAGAAAGAATAAAAGTTAGAAGTACATAGAGTGTCCCAGGGGCAGGAGGGACACACACTTAATTCTTATCTCATCATCTCTTCCTTCCTGGCTACATAAGGTTATACTAGGGCCACCATCCCTAACCCTCAATCTTCAACTGCGTTCTACTATCTGGGGGAGAAGGCTTTCCCAACTCAGACTTTGTGAACCTCAAGGCTACCACAGTACCCCTGTGGGGCAGGCAAACAAAATGTTAAATCCCCAAGCATGTTGACAGAAATGTATAAAACCAGAAATCCGTGCCTTATGTTCCATCTTTACTTCACTCCCCATACCCATACTCAGTCCTACAGGCTAGAGGAGAAGTCACGCTGACCTTGAATCTTTTGAGCCTGAGTTGCTGGAATTCCAGAAGCTAAATCCATGACATTAAGTTGGACCTGCAGGGAGAGGGGAAAGGAAAGAACTGAAGAGATCAACAGTGCATGGCTAAAAAGCAGCCCTTTCCACTCCATGCCCCACCATCCCCATCTCACTCAGAAGTCCCTTTTCCCTGGAATCTGACATAGAGCATGGATATGAAGCTAGCCAAGGGCTTTGGAGGAAGGAGATGCTCACTGGGCTCAAAAGGAATCTCTGTGTGTGCCTGTGTGCAATCTCCCCTCGCTAATGAAAAATATAGGAATCCCAAGAGTTCACCAATTTCCTTGGGTCAAAAGTTATGTTAAAATGCATAATCCACACATAAGGGGCTAACAACAACCACAAAAATCCATTCTTGTGGAGTTCAATTCCAACTCACAGTGACCCCGTAGGACAGAGTACAGCCCCATGGTGACTGCCAGACTGTAAATCTTTATACAGAACAGGCTATCAGAGAGGCTGGTGGGCTTGAACCATCAACCTTTCAGTTAGCAGCTAAGCGCTTAACCACTGCACCACAAGGGGCTGTGGGATACTAAATGCCCCAAGACTTATCCTGAAAGAAAGGACACAAAGGCCTGGGTGTACAGATGTGATGACCCAGCGCAGCCTCAACACCATCTATGCTTGTTCTTCTGAATAAACAGCACTCATTAACTATGATAGCATCCTAGGAAGAGTTTTCACATCGGTGCTTCAGATATCAGGGAAGAGTCCTCATGTTGTGATCTGGGGTCTGCATATTATGATTGCCATAGATTTGGATGAGATATGACCAAGGAGGAACTGCTAGAACCAAAGGGAAGAGATACATTGTCCCCAGGAGAGTCCCAGTTTCACTCATTCCTCAGTCCAGTGATAGACGGCTCTGAGGGCCACTGAGAAAGGAGATGGGGAAACACAGCCTCCATCTAGAGACAAGGGAAAGCAAGTGTGGAAGAAGTTAAAGAATTAGACTCAGATGGAGAGGATTAGGGAAGAAATCATCTGAGATGCTTCTAGCTGAGTATTTCAATTCAGGTGACCTTGAACTGCAGGTTCCACCTGAACTACTTCCAAGGACTTTGCTGTCCCTGTAACCTGTCATTGAGTCAACTCTCAACTCATGGCAACCCCATGAGCACAACAGGACTGGACCATTGAATTGGGTAAGTTTTCAGAAGTAGATCTCCAGGGTTTTCTTCCCAATCTTTCTTAGTTTGGAAGTTTTGCTGAATCCTATTCAGTGTTGTAACTACATTCAAGCCTCCACTGAAATACGGGCATTGGATGAGAATCAAACCCACATGGAAGGCAAGAATTCTACCACAGAGCCACATGTTAATAATGACTGTTGTTGTTAAGTGCCCCGAGACAGTTCCAACCCATAGCAACTGTGTATAGGGTTTCTGAGAGGGGCTGTGTGTTTGAAATGATAGGATTAGACTAATAGATGGCTCAAACCTGAAAAGTTCAGTCTTGTGTTAAAAACCTAACTAAGGTGTGTTTTTGAACCATCGATGGTTCAAACCTACCAGCCTCTCCTTGGAAACCCTACAGAGGGTCGCAGTGCATTGGAGGCGATGCAACAGCATTTAACAACAAAGGAGACAGAAAATAAATTACATATGTGTGATTTGCTCACTTGTATCTCACTAACCATCCAAAAGTCCTCACAATGAAGTGAAGTTGGTATTACCCTCTCAACTGCAGGAATGTGCCAACGAGCAATGGAGGAAGAAGCTGAAAGAAAGAGTAGGGTTGGATTTATGCAGCGGACTCAAGATGTTTCTAAAGTGTCCCTCAGCAAAGAGATGACCAAAGAATGTCCTGCGGTCATCATTAGAGAGTTCAGGAAAGACAGCAAGGTGAGCAGATCAAAGGTATTCTCATCTCTTCTCAAGCCAACTTCCGGGCTGGACAGTGAGTCACTGAGGACCACCCTATGTCAGATAGCTGAGGCCAGACTGGTGGGGCTGAGGGAGAGTCCTGGGACAGTGGGAATGGGAGTCTGGGTGAGAGCTGAGCAAGGAGACAACAGAGACCCTTCCCCATGCTAATGTCTGCAGGCCAGGCCCTTCCACCTACCTTCCCTCCATTCAGGTGCCCACTAGGCCTCTGGGGGAAGGTCTGGCACCGAGCTTCCTGCCAACTCTGAGGCTGGCCCTGGCGCACCCGGGGGAAGGTGGAAGCGCAGTCAGCAGCCAGGTACTGGTACACCTTCCAGGTCTTGCCAAAGTCTGAGGACCGTTCGATCAGCATCCCAGCGGGCTGGGGCCCCTGTGGAGACAAAGGCAGGATGAGGGCCCTGAGTGACTGAGGGAACCGGAAGAGTTAGTGTTGTGTCCCCTGAGGCCACCACCACAAATACAGGTCTCTAAAGAAATGCTGATGAGCTCTGAGCCCTGCAGTGAGGAAGGAGAAGGGTGGCAGAGGGAGCCGGGTTCCACCTGGCACATCACAGACCCTGGCAGGTTTTCCTGAGGGGAACCAGGGAAATCATGGAAATGGGATCACCTTTCTAGAAGACATGTGCCTAGCTCAGCCTGCAACATGGCCACCAGGCTGGAAATTTCTCCCATTTCTGCACTGCCCACAGCTAATCAGTTTTTATGCTTGCTAGGTCTTGATTTTGTCCACTGCCATGGTTTAGGCAAACATGAGCTCTTTCACAGAGCATCCTGCCTCCCTATACCCATTTACTCAGTGAATTTATGCTGACTGCTCCCAGCCTAGATGGCTTCTTTGAACTTCATGTTCAGAAATCCAACACCCAAAACAGGTCCAACTTCCAAAATTAGGACCATTGTTAGGAATGAACTGTGTCTCCCAAGAAGATGTACAATGTCTTGGATCCTGTAACTTTGCATGCAATCCTGTTTGGAAATAGGACTTTTCTATGTTAATGAGGTCAACCAGAGTAGGATGGGCCCTAAATCTAATCGCTTCTGAATTATAAAAACAGCAGAACTGACACAGAAACAAACACAAAGGGAAGACCCATATGAAGACAGACAGACATGGAAGATGGATCTAGAAGCCCCAAAATGCTGAGGATTACCACAGCTACCAGAAACTGAAATGGACAAGGAAGAACTTCTCCCTAGAACCATGCCCTGAATTCAAACTTCTAGAATTTGGAGAACACTAACTTCTGTTCTTTAAAGCTGCCCAGTGTGGTATTAAGATACCCATCTCTCCAGCTTCTGGGTGACCACCACCTCCTCCCATCTATCTCTGAGAGCCCCCCACCTAATCACCCACCCCTCTTCCGTCACTCATATTTTGATCACATATGTCACAATACAGAAAAAAGCCTTCTTTTTAGAATATAAAATGGACCACGTCACACCTCTGCCAAAGCTTCCCAGGATATACTAATGAAATCCAAACTCCCAACAGCAGCTGAAGACACCCTGTGCTACGTGGACCCTGCCTCACTCCTCACCTCACCCTGTGCCAGCATGATCCCCAGCTCTACCGGAAGCTGTGAATGGTCATTCTGTCACACCAAGCTGGCTCCTTCCTCACAGCCCTTCCCCTGGTGGCTTCCTTCTCTTTTGTTCTCACTTAAATGTCATGGCCACATCAAGACCTTTGCATACCCATCGAAAGTGCATGTTCCTATCCATACCTTGCTCAGCCCACACCATTATTTCTTATTACAGCAACTTGCTTGTTTCCTCTATTACAGTCACCACAATTTTCAATTATTTGTTGGTTTCCTGCTTTTGTTCTTCTCCCACTAGACCAGGGCTTCTCACTATTGGTATTTTGAGTCAAATAATTATTTACTGGGGGTGGGGAGGAGGCTGTCCTGTGCATTGTAGGATGTTTACCAATCTCTCTCAACTCAACCCACTAGATGTCAATGGTGGTAGTTAAGTGCCGTGGAGTCGGTTTCGACTCATAGTGACCCTGTACAGGGTTTCCGAGGCTGTAAGGTTTCCAAGGCTGTAAGTCTTTACGGGAGCAGAAAGCCTCATCTTTCTCCCACGGAATAGCTGGTAGTTTCAAACTGCTGCTCATAAAGTTCACAGCCCCATTCGTAACCGCTCTACGCTACGCTCCCCGCAAACCAAACAAAAACCCACTGCTGTCAAGTCAATTCTAACTCTCTAGGACAGAGTGACCCTACAGGGCAAAGTAGAACTACCCCATAAAGTGTCCCAGACCATAATCTTTACACAAGCAGACTACCACATCTTCCTTCCATGGAATGACTTTTCAGTTAACAGTCAAGCGCTTAATCACTACGTCTCCAGAGTTCCTTCAAAAATAATGCCCCACACTGCCAAATGTCTTCTGTGAGGCCCAAATCACCCCGTAAGGAGAACAACTGGTGTAGACTGAAGTCCCCCTACCCCCAGCTGTCTTGTTGTCACAGTTGTATTCCCAGCCCAGCATCTAGCACACAGCAAGTGCTTAGTGCACATTTGCTGACTAGATGAATCTTTCAATCATCAGGCTGCCACCATTTGCATTTGAAAAGACATTTCTCACCTGATACTGCCCACCCTCTGAAGTCACCACACACACATTTACCATTCCAGACCCCATGTCCATCCCCTTGAGGCGCTGTCCTCAATTCCACACCTTTTTACCTCTTCTTCCTGGCCTTTGCACATGATGTCCTTTTCTTTTCTTTTTCTTTTTTTTTCAGTTAGCGTTTTATTGAAATCACATGATGTCCTTTTTGCCTGGAAAGACCTTTATCCTTCACCTGGTTATTACTGATTTATGAGGGTTAATCTCTCCCTGAGTGCATTCTTTGATGCCCCCAAGAGAGGTCAACCTAGATATTTTCCTCTTTGTCACTATCACCTCTTCTTTCCAGTTTCAGAGCCCTCCACATACTCTCTGGCTGTTGTCTCTTGGTCTGTCTTCCCTACACATAAAGCAACTTAAGGATAATGATTTCATTTTATTCATTTTCCCATCCCTAAAATCTGGCATCAAAGCTTAACATATAATCAGGGTTTGCTTCTATACATAGCATGAATGGACACATAAATGAATAGGTGAATGATAAAAAAGCAAGGAAACTATTTAACAGGATCCATCCAAATGAAGGTTGCCTTTCAAAGTTCTCACATTCACAGGCTGGGCATTTAGTCAAAGGATGCTGGCATTTCTCAAAATACTTTTGACCTTTTCTTGGGATAAGCCTCTTAGAGCCAACTTCTTCAGTCATGTAAAAAAATAGTTGTTAAGTGTCGATTTATCGTCGAGTTGATTCCGACCCATAGCGACCCTGTATAGGGTTTCCAAGGAGAAACTGGTGAGCATGAACCACTGACCTTGTAGTTCAAATGACTTTGCAGTCTGATGCATTAGCCCACAGCGCCACACCAGGACTCCATTTAAGAAAATAGGTCCTATTAATTTTTATTCCTAATTCATTTTAACTCTTTGAAAATGATGTCATCCCTTCCTAATCATATAATCTTATCAGTCAACTGTGATGCTTAAATAGTTGACTGTTGCTGTAGAAAGAATGAAATCTTTCTGTGAGGGTAGAAAAAAAAGGATGTTCTGCCACAAATGAGTGGAAATATTCTTCCCACAAGGAATATATCAGAAATCTGTTGTGAAAGTGAATTCCTGAATTATTTTGTGAAGTAATAGCACCAAATGAGTAGATTACCCATGAAGAGGGCTGCTCTAAAGGCGTATCTTTCAAGTGGATGGACAAGTTCACAGCTGTGTGTTAAACTAAAGATCTCTAAGGTCCATTCCAGCTCTCATGTTGTAACACATCAGAACTCCTTTGGACAATTGACTAACTATCTGCAGAGTTACAAAAACAGAGTCTACCAACAATGCACAACTGCATAATAGGTTGCAACAACAACACAAAACCCAGTTGCTGTCAAGTTGATTCTTACTGATGGCGACCCCATGCATGTCATAGGATTTTCAATGGCTGGTTTTTCTGAAGATTGCCAGGTCTTTCTTCTGAGGTGCCTATGGGTAGACTTGAACTTTCAACCTTTTGGGTCATGGCCAAGTATGTTAAATATTTGTACTACCCAGGGACTTCATAATAAGCAATCATGTCTAGTAAAATTGGTACTTGGCGGAGCTAAATTATTCACATGGGGTGAGAGTAGGGGTAGAACCACCACACAACCATGACAGGTATTCTGGGGGTGCCCCTGTTCTCCCTGAAGTGAGACCTCGGCTATCATCATGAGATAGGGTCAGAGTGAGGGTAACACCAGCCTGGGATGTGATGCCATCATGATTCTGTGCTCTTCTATGGGTCCAAGCCCCCCTCTTCTACCCACTGCCCTCTCCAGGAAGCACACCTTAAAATCCATTATGATGTCCTGAAGCTGAAACTTCCTGTCCAGGTCCAGCTGCAGAGAGACGGGGTTCTTATCTACAAGGACAAAGGGCAGTAACATTAGACCAGAGATGTTCCACCTTTTCAGCCCTGAAGAGCCCTCTGGGCTGTACTGACACTTATTGTTGTTGTTAAGTACCATCGGTTATGACTCATAGCGACCCTGTATAGGGTTTCCAAGAACAGCTGGTAAGTTTGAACCACTAACCTTGCAGTTCGAACCGACCTTGCAGTCCCGTGCTTTATCCCACAGTGTCATCAGAAACTCTGATTTCTCGCCTGGGGAGAAATGATGCCAGTATGGTTCTACTTGGGAGTCCTGGTGTGGTGCTGCGGGTTAATTCACAGGACTGCAAAGTTGGTGTGAATCTCAAGGTCGGCAGTTCACCAGCTCACCAATCGCACCTAAGAAACCCTACACAGGGTCGTTGTGGGTCAGAACCAACTCAACAGCACTTGACAACAACAGCATGGTTCTACTTATTTAAGCTATTCAAGACGCTGTCTGTTCTTGGTCAAAATTCCTTCCTATCATTACTTAATGCCTTGAAGACTTTCAGCTTTCCTGGTTCAACACAATCTTGTTCCCAAAGCTCAATTCCTACAACAAGTGCATTGTAATGAAGTTGGGTTAAACTTCTTCTCATATTCTTTCCTTAAACTCTAATAAACCCCTCCATCAATGCCATCTGACAGACCCCAAATACTGAGGTACTTGTCAACCACATTGTCCCACCACCATAAGAAATGTCTGAGAAGCCCAAAGGGCTCCTGGCCAATCTCTATCCATCCCCATCCTATGGAAATTTAAAGTTTGGATCCCTTCTTCACTGAGTAGTATCCAATCTGTCTGGGCGGGACTGATGAAAGGAGATATGGATAGCACTCATGTGGTACAATAGTGAATAATTACTATCAGGACTGACTGTGAGGGTTGTAAATGTAAAGGTAGATATTTTGTAGCAAAAGGAAGGAAGTGGTTGACTTTGCAGTCCAGGAGCGGAGATCTCTGGGACCATCAAGGGAGAAGAGAGGAGAGCAGGACTCTACCCAGAGAAGCAGTGACACCAGAGATGGAGGCAGAGACGATGACATGGAGAGATGGAGCAGCTGGAGACTCTAGACCCAGAGAGAGAGCGGGGCTGTGTATTGATGACCAGGGGACAGGCTTGCGGGAATACTCTTTGGTTGGTTGATGATACATGGAGGGGATTGTAACCATGGCAATGTAACGATATACAATAGGATGAATGTAAAGCTAATGTTCTCCCATGTAAACTATCACATAATTTATAATAAAACAGTTTAAAAAAACAAACAAAGTTTGGGTCCCTGTAGGTAGCAGGTGCTCACCATTCTGTGACTGCCACCAGCGCGTGGGACCTGAAGATGAAGCTACATTCTCCACTCGGTGGCTGTTGAAATTGTGAGGCATCCTGGAGTCACACTTGCAGCATTTCATCTGCCACTGTGGGAGAGAAAGGCAGGAGAAACTCAGGCACGGTTCTGGTGGAATTCTCCCTTTGTATCCCGAGAGCCAGAACATTCCCTCAGTGTAAAGGCTAACTTGGTTTCCATTGATTTCATTAACACCCATAGGACGATTAGCCTCTCTGACATCTTCTAATTTAATCTTTTTGTGTCCCTCTTAATACCTAGGTAAATAAATAGCTGGTGAGATTGGGGTAGAGGTATAAAGTGGCAGAAAAAATCATTTGGTATACATTATTACTTTAAGGAGAAACAGAAATGAAGTTCTAAAGGCAAAAAGAAGAAAGGTAGGGAAACACACTCTGTGGTTATGAGTTGGGCTGTTAATCTCACATCAGCAGTTTGAAACTACCAGCTGTTTCATGGGAGAAGGATGAGGCTTTCTGGTCCCGTAAAGATTTATAGGCTCAGAAATCCTATGTAGGGTTGCTATGGATTGGAACCAACACCATAGCCCATAACCAACCAACCAACGTGTGCTAGGCAAGAACTAGTAAGCTTCATAGTATATCTCAGTTCATTCTAGTAACCTGGAGAATCCTCCTACCCACAGAGAAGAAGCCTGGAGCCAGTATGTTTTTATGTTGTTGTTAAATGCAGTCTAGTTGGTCCTGACTCACAGCCACCCTGGAGCAGCTGGTGGATTTGAAATGCAGACCTTTCAGTTCGCAGTCCAGGGCCTACTCTACAGAACCACAGTATAGCCCTACTAAAGAGGACTCTGTAAGTGAGCAGCTTCAGGCCAGGAAGGCACCTGGCAGAGGGAGACTGCAGCCATAGGGTTGAGGGCAGAAGTCCTTCCCCATGAATATCTGGGCCCAAGTGGACAACCATGAGGGAATCAGCCTTATGTCCAGTAACCACACGTTCCCTGGCTTGAGCCCAACCCCTGGTGTGTGCTAAGAGACAGAACTGAGCCCTGTGGGTTCCAAGGCAGTTCAGAAGTCATCAAGAAAAAGAACATGACCGCCGCACATGTCCCATATTCTTTGAGTTTGTGCCTGTACATGTATCCAACACAGAGACATGCATAATCTTGTCCCACCTGCCCTGGGTGACACACTTCACATCTATGTTTTATCTGAGTAGTGAAGGTCCCAGTTTAAAGAACACCATTCAGAAGGCTCCATATTCACTCACAAGTAGAAACAGGGCCTGGACAAAGAAAAAGCCTCCCTGGCCTGCTGATCCTTCTGCAGAGGTGAGGCTGTATTCATCATGGGTCATAAGTTCATTTTTTTCTCTAAGCCCTCACTCCCCAGAACCTGGGACCACTCTGGAGCTTTCCCTGAGGTCTCCTGGCTCTGGGGAAGCCAATAAGTTGACTAAGTCAATTCCTTAGAACAGGTGGTATCAGCTGAATGAAACTGATTCCCGAGAGCTCCATCCCAGGAGACTGAGTGGATATCCGTTGCCTGTGCCTATAGTTACAGAAACTCCCTGCTATGTTCACAGCTGACTAAGCATGGAACAGTGGAGAGCACAGAAGGGGAGTTAGGAGCCCTGACTGTCGGCCTCTGTCTCTCCCACACACTGTCCATCTCGCACCTCCAATCTGCAGACTGAGAGAACTGTCACCTTTCCTGGTGCTTGTGGATGCTTTTGTCAGGTCCAACAATGCTTTACGAAACGCTCATTCTTCAGGTGTTTAATGCTCAAACAGTGGCTGGTACACGTACCCTCGTAAAATAACCTCCATTGTCCACCTCCCTACACTGTTCATTCCCTTGTCCTGCCGCATTTTCCCTCATAGTGTATATACATATCCCCTCATGACATACTATATATTTATTTTCTATTTATTTACTTTTTGTTTACTGCCTGCATCCCCCTGTTTGTTGGCATTTTTCCTGAATGCAATACCCCATAAGGGCAGAAAGTTGCTTTTGATCCTTATTTATTCCTAGATCTTGGAACAGTAATGCCTAGCACACAGCGGGCCCTCATCTGTAAGTACTTACTGATTGAAGGAAGGAAGGAATGCTCAATAAATGCTCAAGATTCTCATCTCCATTATTGTTAGGCGTCCCCTTCTGACACTCAGGGAGTTTACAAGGAGGCATCGGAGAGTGAAGAGGGAATAACACAGAGGCGATATTCTGTGGTTAAAGGCTACTATGTATCAGGTACTGCATTTCCAAAATACCCTGTTGCTAACCGTGACCCTCTAAGACGGAATAGAACTGCTCCCTAGGGTTTTGGAAGAGGAATGCCTCATCTTCCTCCAGTGGGATCTCCTGTGTCTGGTGGGTTCGAACCACCGACCTTTCAGTTAGCAGGCTAACACTTAACCTGCTGCACCACCAGGGCTCCTTGATACTGCATTATGTACTTCCAATACAATACATTATTTCATCTCACAACAATCCTCTTCCCATTTCGGAGATGAGACTACGTGGCTTTCCTATGAGCCCAAAGACAGTGTCAGAGCCTGTGACGTTGGGGGAGCAGGAGGAGTAGAGTCCCTTCCCACTTGCCCACTCTCTCCCTCTTCTCCTCTCATTTCCACTAGGGAAGCACAGACATGGTGGGAAATACGGTAAAGGGTGGCAGCCTCTGTTTCCCCCTGGTGGTCCCCAAGAAGGGCTTAGTCTGACCCTAAACAGAGTCCAAGGCAGAGAGAGCACTTTGGGAAGAAGGTTGGCATCTGGGACTAACCCAGTGCAGGTATTAACTACAGAGAAGAGATGACTCAGCTGCTGGGATACCTGAGCACTTAAAATAGACCTTTCTGGGCAAGTGATGGCCCTTGCTGCAGTTGGCCTCCCCTCTGGAATCTAATTTAGTCCCTGGCAGTGAGCACGTCCTTTTCCCCACTCTGGCCAGCCTCTCAGGGGCAAATTTTTCCACTATGTCTAAACTCAGCCCTTGGAAAGACAAGGGCCAGCTGCCTTCCGGTTGCCTTTCCCCAGAGCTCTGCCCAGCTCTGCAGGGAGCTGACCCAGCCCTTCCCCAGCCAAGCAAGTGCCCTAAGCAAGGCTCTTTTTCTCCCTGGGACACTGAGCTGCAACAGCCCAACCTAGTCTGTGGAAATGCCCTGATACTCCCAAATGATGGGCTTTTATGTAACTATTACAAATACTGTTTAGAGAAAGGTTTTGATTGCATGAGGAAGTGCTTATGTAACAGTGCTTATGGAAAAAAAAATTGGTCATAAAGTTCTCTAAGCATTATCATTTGAAATATATATACTAAAGGAATTTTAAACAAACATTTGGAATCAAATATGCTAGCAAATGTGCCAATATGAAATTGCTGACATCCAACCATTTTGACCTGTGAAAATAGTGACTACATACAAGGGGACTTCAAAAAGTTAGTGAAAAATGGAATTAAAAGATAATGGAATTTTCCCATGGATTTTTTTGATGCTTTTCAGTTAGCAGTCCAGTGCCTACACATGTACACACATACACCTATACAAAGGGACTTCAAAAAGTCCATTATGTTTTAATTCCATTTTTCCACAAACCTTTCAAAGCCCCCTGGTATATATTCCACATTTTATATGTTGAACAGGTCATAACTTCTGTACTCCAGTAAAGAAAGGGTGGTATAAAATAAAAGAAAAATAACCCAGATGTTCTTCACTGGCTCACTGTCCTGCCTCCTCTCTTTCCCACGAATGGTCTGGAGGTGCCCCCATGCCTTCTTCACCTTCCCTTCACGTGTACAGGTACTGATGGAGGGATCAGATGGCCTAAGAGCTTAAAAGTTATGTGTTGCTTATCATAGTTACATAGCTAAGGAGGTATTTATCTCAATCCTTAGAGCCAGGCTAAGCCAACTGGCCTGGTGAACAGGTATTTTAAGTAGCTCTGCCTGTCAGCTAGCTAGCAAGATAGAAGGCTGAAAATAGAGTGGCTTATGGTAGAAGCCCACACAAAGACAAGCTGCGTATTTGCTTCTATCCTTCTGGGCCTCACTTTCCTATTCTATTTTATTCTTTTGTTTCCTTTTTTCCCCCTATTTTATTCTTGTGTATGGCTCTTGGTATAAGCCTCTTCATCGCACACGTGTTACGTGCCTCTAGCTCTCCCTTAAATGGAAGCTGTCAGCTGGAGCTGCCTCCCTCTTTGGGGTCATTTGGCTAGTGTTCTCCTGGCTGCCCTACCTCACAGACACAGCATTATTATCCAACTCAGCCTGTCAGGCCTCCAGCCAGTTTGGCTCCTACTTGCTCTCCAGCTAGAAACACCGGACCTTCTCCCTTACCCTGGAACTTTCTAGAAGCTCGAAGTCTGGCTGGAAGACAAACCCTCCCCTAGACCTGGCGGAGGGCAGAGAAGAGAGCAAGAGCCAGCAGGCACCTGGATTGCAGTGCAAAGGCATGGGATAGGAAGGAAATGCAAATCAAAGAAAGCCCTGTGTCTTTGCAGAACATAGAACAAATTCTGAGGGAAAATGGGGAAACAGGCTTGGGTTATGAGAGAGAGGCCAGGGGGCAATGTTACCAGTCACCTGAGTCCATCTAAGGAGTTATAGCGAGGGTCACAGCCACCAGCCAGGACCAAAAGAAAGTTAGTCAAGACCAAAAGAAACACAGTTGCCTGCAAGTAAAAACATTTCCCTTACTTCCAACCTCCTCATTGGTAAAATGCAAAGGTTGGATGAGATAATTAAGTTCCTTCTTGCTCTAACATGCTATTAGAATTCTCCCTTATGCCAGTTTATTCATCCAGAAGTTAAAGGTACTTCCAACAGGCATGTAAAGGAAGAAAGACAAAAACAATAGGATTGGCTAGAAGCTGTCCTCCTAGACACATACTTTCCCAGCAATGAGGAGATGGGAAAGGGGGCCTATAATGCTTCCTTTGAAGTGTCAGTTTGGCTAGGCTCTAACTCACTGCCACCAAGTCAGTTCCAAGTCATAGCAACCTTACAGCACAGAGTAGAACTGCTCCACAAGGTTCCCGAGACTATAAATCTTTACGGGAAGAGACAGCTTCATCTTTCTCCCTTGAAGTGTCTGGTGGA